GGGCGGCCGGGACGTCATCCGGCTGATCGATTACGAGTATGCCGGGCCCGCCCCCGTCGCGTTCGACCTGGCCAACCACTGGTGCGAGTGGGCGGCAAACTACCACACGGACACGCCCGACCTGCTGGATTTCGGGCGGATGCCGGGGGCCGGCCAGCAGCGCGTATTTGTGGAGGCGTATCTTGGCGGGCTTCTGGCCGGCCTCGGCCTGGACCCGCCAGCTGGCGCAGCGGCGGCGGCGGCGGCGGACGGGCTCGGTGAGGGGCTGTCGATCGCGGCGGCGGCGGCAAGCGGCGGCGGCGGCGCGGCGCTGCGGTCGGTTTGGGGGTGGCTGCGGCTGCACGGGGTCGAACGGCCGGCGGACGCCGGGCGCGGCGCCGTCTCGCCCGCAGCGTGGCGGTCGCTGGTCGCCGCGCTGCAGGCGGCGGCGCGCGCGTACGAGTGCACGAGCCACCTGGTGTGGGCGCTGTGGGGGCTGGTGCAGGCGCGGGACAGCGCGTGCCCCGATTTTGATTACATGTCCTACGCTCAGCAGCGGTGGGAGCGGTACAGGGCGACGCGGCCGGCTGAGCTGGCGGGCGGGTGACGGCCTGGCTCCCTGTGTGCCTATGATTGCCGCCACGGCGCGTCTGGGGTTCTCCTAGCAATGCGGTCATTCGTTCGCTGCCAGCTGTCGGCGTGTGCAACGCGAGCGCTGCGGCCGCCGCCGCCGCCTGTCCCCTTTCATCTGCCGCGGCGCGCCCCAACACCCTTTTTTGCTGCCGTCGGGCAATGCACACACGTTCGAACAATTGGCCACGCCAGTGGTTGATGGACTGACCCGTTGTATCTGGCAGGTCCAGGGGTGCATGCCACACCCCAGTCCTCACGATGCAACACCCAACTCATCCGGCTGCAACACCCCACTCCTCTGGCTGCATAGTCTGCAAATGACATTTGTATTGTTCCAGCTGTAATGCCACTTGCGGCGCCACTGTGACACTGAACTCCTCACACTGCGACCATTTCATTGAGAAAGCGTGTGACATCACTCAGCAGGACAGGCGCAGAGGACGGTGTTCTGAGCGCAAAGACAGCTGCCTGCAAGAAGGCTTGACCTGTTGTCGTGGCTTGGCACCTGGTTTTGAGAGCCAGGTGCGCATGGCCCCCCCCTCTCTGCCCCTCACACACAGTGTCAGCTTCAGCAGCCGCGTGCGACTGCATCCTCGTTCTGAACATGCAAACGTATGCACACACTGACACAGCAGCAGATGCGCACTGGGATTGAAGGACGCACATCCACAATCAAGCTATCGCACATGCACACGAGTGGGTCTGCACTAACGCGTGAGTACCATGTGACTCACACACACTCTCTCTTTCTCTCTCTCTCTCTCACGTGCACACACACACACACATACGCATGCAAGCAGGGACACAAAGTATTGTGTGGGTTGCACCAAGCACGGCTGCTCGTCTTCATGCTTCATCACGCAAACCCCTGGGGCCACAGTGTCAGAGCCCAGATCCACGGTTTGACCAACCAGGCCCCGACCGCGCATAAAACACCCATGCGCAGGCGTTTTGATGCGTCATGTGTCATTAACTGCATTGCATGGCCGTCATGGCGTGCCCATGCGCCCATGTGCTGAGAATGTGGCATGGCAGGCCCCAGGCCCCTGACGCGCCACTCAGCCACGTGTATAGCGGCTGTGCTGCATGTGCTGTGTGCACGCGAATTTCGTGCATGCGAGCAAATCTGAGTACTGATAATTTCAATTTATGCAGCACTTGGTGATAATCAATGTTATGCAGTGGACGTGTGCATCCAAACTGTCAGCTGCTGCTCCTCGCCCAACCCTGCCCTTGGCGCCACTTTTTGTGCCCACCATACGGCTGACAGATGTCCGTGTTATCAATCATCACATGTTGTATCTCCGCAAATACAGAGGTTGAGACCTGAATAGACTACCAGCGCGCAAAGATCTCGCTGAAATCGAGTTCCTCGTCGGCAGGCTCAGCCCCGAATCGTCAGAGGTGAGTAGACGTCAGCAAAACTGCCTGTACCTGGATCCTAGTCCCGCTGGGTCCATCTCACCCTCTAGGGCACGGTCAACCCTGGGTGCAATGCCGCCCTTGCGCTGCAAACTCAAGCTTGCAAGAGTCCCAGGTGGTGCATGAGGGGCCAGCTGGTGTGCGGCGCACGTTACACTCCTCCTCGCTTGGCCGGCGCAGGTCAGATGGGTCTTGGCGGCGGTGCCAAGCGTGGCGCATCACCATGCGAGAGAGACAGTCAGGACTCTGCTGCGGGCGTTGGTTGTGGGGGCTTCAAAAGCCCCGAGAAGAAGCCAAGAGCGTCATTCTTGGTGCGACAGCCGCAGCATCTGCAGCAGCAGCCGCCGCAGCAGCAGCAGCAGCAGCAGCAGCAGCATCAGCCGCCGCCGCAGCAGCAGCAGCAGCAGCAGCCCCTGCGTGCAGGCCCCGCTGCTGCCGAACTTGCAGCACCCGCTGCGCTTGGCGGTGGCGGCGGTGGCGGCGGTGGGGTTGATGAGTTGGAGGCCGGGGGCGGCAGGGACCACTTGGCCAACCCAGTTGCACCGGGCACCGAGCCCTCGCGCCCGGCGGTGCCGCTCCTGCTGCCGCAAGCGGACCTGCTCGAGCGGGGTGCAGATGAGCAGCAAATCTGGGAGGAACGTGATGAGGATGCCAGCAGGCTGCTTGGGGGCGTCGAGCAGCTTGACGACTGCGGCATCTGCGCAGGGCACGGCGCCAGCCCCGCCAGCCCCACTAGGCCGTCAGGCGAGGCTGCCGCTGCCGCCGCGCTCGCGGCGCCGCAGGATGCAGGGCTCGTGCTGCCCGCTGAGGCGCGCAAGCTGCTTGCCAAGATGCGCAACATGCTCAAGCTGAACTCGCGGCACGGCGGCGGGTGGCGCCGAGCGCACAACGCGCTGCTGGCTCTGCACCTGCGCCTCGAGGATTTGGGGCTGCTGGTTCGCGCCACCTCAAAGACCATCAGGCTGTCCCTGAAGAGCAAGGAGGAGGCGGAGACGCAGCTGCTGCCGTACAAACCGGCGGGCGCAGAGCTCGGCGTGCTGCGTTGCCGCCAGGGCAAAGCCATCCAGCTGCGAGAGGGAGACAATGGCAAGTGCACCAAAATGCTGTACCGCATCGGGGGGTGCGCAACATTGTTCAAGGTGATGATGGCGGCCGCGGCCACCACGCCGGCGCAGGCGCAGCAGCAGCAGCAGCAGCAGCAGCAGCAGCAGCAGCAGCAGCAGCAGCAGCAGCAGCAGCAGCAGCAGCAGCAGCAGCAGCAGCAGCAGCAGCCCCCCCACCATCACCAGGTGGGCGGGCACTCTGTGCACTGCAAACCAACCTGGGGCAGCCTGGATGTGCTGACTTCAATCGTTTTTCTCGTTGTCTGTCTGCTCGCCTCACAGTCCGCGGCCCTCCAAGCCACTCCATGATGGCGCATACGTGCCGCGCAGGCGGAGCCGTCAAGCGAGGATGATGAGGACGCGCCGTCGGGCGGCATCTCCGCTTGGGCTGTCGCAACCACGGTTGAGGGGGCGACGTACCCTGCAGCTCTCTACTTGCTCTCGGACCTGGCAGCAGGTTCTGAGGACGATCCCGACCCCCCAGCATTTCGTGAGTGGTGGGCGAAAAAGTTTGGCCACGCTCCCCACGACTCCTGCGAGGCGATGATGGTGGGGCCGGCACTTTGTGGCATCCCAGGCGCCCGCGCGTGACCCTCTGGCGGCTGCATCAGGGGCAATCTGATTGCTGAGCTGCACCATCATGGTGCAACATGATCTTGAGCATTTGGACTGTGTGCATCGCCGCTCAGGCAGAGGAAGGGGGTTTGATCGGCTCATTTGCATCAGGATGCGACCAATGGGCTGATCAAGCAACATCATGCAGGGGTACTCGTTCGCCGCTTTGTTCTTCATGATATGGTTTTGTGCTGCAGCCGCTCTTTGAAATTGCCGCGACCTCACGGTAATCATGTGCGTCTTGCATGGCCGGGCAAGTCAGGTCTGACGTGGCGGGCGCGAATTCACCGTCGGGTGAAGAGGGATTCAGGACCGTGGCACTGCAGTAGAGCGGAAGGCGAGGGTGCTGCGTTCACGCAGTCGAGAAGCCATGTAGAGGCATTTTTGAATGGCTGATTTGTGCCAGCAATTCAGTCAGGACCGGGCAGAGAGCGGTGTTCGACCAGCTGCACGCCACCAGCAGGTGGTGCAAGCCACGATGGCGCCCGGCCGTCAACGCCAGATAACCGACTGCTGCTGGCTGCATTGGGCGTCAGGCCGCTTAAGGCGGGTTTTCATGAACCACACAAAGCAACAACCCCACCTGGTTGAGCTGTCTGTACCGTGCGGCAAGAGAGGCCACGTGCGCATGGGTGCGTGTGGGGTGCTGCCGCGACACACAGCGACAAAGGGGACGCGCTACAGCAGCCGGCTGGTGGGGAGCCTGACCAACCACCCGGGATTGTCCTCGCGTCGCGCTTTTGTGCCAAGCCACCCACTCCTGCCGTGCTGCTGCCCCGCAGCGCTGCTGCCGCTAGCTCACAATCACTGTGCTGCCGCAGTGATTGATCAATATCACCAATGCTTTGTCGCACCCAAGACTGCCCATCAAGTGTCAAGCCAGCCTGCCAAGCGCCGAAGCCTTGTTTGCATGCCGAATGGGGACGTTACAATCAGGCCCGAGGGAGCAATTTTCTCCTCGATGCCGGCGGCACCGCCGCCGCTGCGCGCCGAAAATTGGATCAGGTTTAGATGGCGGAGAAGTACTCCCTGCGGTAAAGGTACAGGGCGGTGAGGGTGTGGAGCGGTTAGTTTGAGGACGGTTTTGTTACCACCCAAGGGTAGAGCGCTGGCTATGAGGTCACGCAATGGCAGGGTACGCTTTGGCTGCCGGGAGACGGGAGCAGTTGCGGCCGTGGGCACAGCGATGCCGGGGCGCTGCTGGTTGTAATGCGCATGGGTTCAAATGCAACGCATCAAGCCTGTACTGGCGGGGGCACTCTCACTTGGAGCCCTTGGGGTCGGGCTTCATGGTGGCATCCCCGGGCTTCCAGCCGGCAGGGCACACCTGGGGAGGGGGGGCAGGCGCGCAGAAGGGGTAGGGTCATAATTCAGTCGCAGCTCCCCCCCATGCACACACACAGACACACACACACACACACGCTCAAACTCTAGTACTCCACACACTCACGCATGCAATCGCCCGCTCTAACGTCTTGCCCCTCTACACACACACACATGCGCGCGCGCGCACACGCCTGCACCCTCACACACTGATCAAGCCCGCACCTCGTCGGGGTGGCTCTGGATGTACTGGATGGCCTGCAGCACGCGCAGCGTCTCGTCCACGCTGCGCCCGAACCCGAGGTTGTTGATGGTGCTGTGCTGCACCACGCCCTCCTTGTCGATCAAGAACAGGCCGCGCAGCGCGATGCCGTCGGGCGTCAGCACGCCGTAAGCCTCTGAGATCTCCTTCTTGAGGTCGGCCACCAGGGGGTAGGCCAGGTCGCCCAGTCCGCCGTCCTTGCGGTCGGTCTGGATCCAGGCCAGGTGGGTGAACTGGGAGTCCACGGACACACCCAGGACCTGGAGGGGGGGGGGGTAGAGGGT